GGTGGATGTATGTGGGAGTTGTTCTTAAATAGGACCTCTTGCAAAAGAGGAACGCGCCGAAAGATGCAAAGTCGGTCGGCTTTTGGGTTTGATGTGTTGACTGAATGGGTTGCATAGCACCTCTTGAGAAAGAGGAATGCACTGCAAGGTGCACACTGAAGTTTGGTTTCAAGCTCTATGGCACACTGAACACCCGGATTTGGTTATTATCCACCCTTTAGCCTAGAAAACAATCTTGATCAGGCCCAAGTTCATGATGTTGATCTTCATGTTTTTTAACTACGATTTGCGGCGATGGTCAGAAGCATGGGCTTGCATGTCGATTGGTGTGGCTTGTTTGTTGCATTGTGCACTGTATGCTGGGCCTTGGACTTTCTACGCTAAGATTTGATGCAGTGAGTGACAACTTGTAGTAGTGGACCACTCTTGAAATTCCAGGAGTTGAACGCCTTCTAATCTGGAACAACTCTTTGTTTTGTGTGTGAGAACCATTGTTCCATGCGCTTTGTTTCAATTTTCTTTGTCAACCAGTTTCTGGATTCCAGAAGCTGGACCAACTCCATGGAATTTGCAGGAGTGCAGGCGTTGTGCAATGAAACTTTTCCAAAGAACATACTGACCGAACGATGGAAACTTGTGTGACCGGCAGAAATCTTTTTGACCGAACGCAAAAAACTTGTGTATGGGCACTGGCAGGGCCCGAACGACAGGAATCTTGTTGACCGAACGCCAAAAACTTGTGTATGGCCACTGGCAGTCCCCGAACGACAAACCCAGGAGTGACCGAACGACAGATCTCAAGCTGACTTATGCATCAGGTGGCCCAACTGTATGGGCACCGCCAGTTCCCGAACGACAAACCTAGGAGTGACCGAACAAGAGATCTCAGAGCTTACCCTGCCATCTGAGGCGGGTAGCTCTCAACCCCTCAGATGGCAACGGCGCCGCCAGTTCCCGAACGAAGGAACGCCAGGAACCATCCTGATCAACATCATCATGTGACAACATGTTTGTAAACCAAAGAGCTTACCCTGCCATCTGAGGGGGGTAAGCACTTCCTAGCTGACAATGAATTTCACTGTCAGGTACACCGAACACCCCTCAGATGGCAGGGTGACTTAAAGTGACCGTGCCATCTGAGGGGTTGACAGCTACCCCCCTCAGACGGCAGGGTACACTAATGCTATCAGTGAACAGTGACAAGATTTTTTTTTAACCAAATAGTGTGCCCTGCGTTAATCCTATCAATGGAAAGATTTTATGCAGTAAACCAAATAGCTCACCCTGGGATAATGCTTTCCGTGAAAAGATGTATAAAGAAACAAAAAGCTCACCTTGCGATCAAAGGGTTTTACTACGAACCCCTCAGATGGCAGGGTAGACTAAGCTTGCAAGGGAAGACCAATCAAGATCAAGATCATGTCTTTGATGTTCATGTCGCTGACCAAGATGATGAACATTGGTATGATCATGATGGCAGCCTTGATGTTCAAGGTCTTCAATGAGAAGAGAAGTAAAGAGGTGCTTGTAGTATTTTTCAATCATCATGATGATCCACTAGAAGATCCGCGTCATGATCTTAAACCTGATCGATCTTCTTTTCTTTGATGATGTTCATGCTGGTGATCATGTTGACGAAAAACAGCCTGGAACAAGATGTTCAATGTTGAAGCGTAGTAAAAACATGAAGGTCACAATCATGAACTTGGACCTGATCAAGACTGTTTTCTGATGATGGTCATGTTGGTGTTCAGGGTGATGAAAAGCAGTGTAAGAGTGTGGAACAAGGCTTTAGTTTTGAGGGATGATGAAAGCATTGTGGTCTTAATGGTGGCCTTGATGATGAACAATGATGTTCATTTATGATGACGATATTTTAATGAAGATGAAGATCATGTCCTTGATGCGTATATTCATGACCAAGATGATGAATAATGGTATGATCATGATGGCAGCCTTGATGTTGAACAAGGTCTTCAATGGTGAAGAGAAGCTAAACCAGTTGTTTGTAGCGTTTTTCATTCATCATGATGACCCACAAGAAGATCAGCATCATGATCTTAAACCTGGTCGATATTCTTTTCTTTGATGATGTCAATGCTGGTAATCACGTTGACGAAAAACAGTCTGGAACAAGATGTTCCGTGTTGAATCGTAGTAAAAACATGAAGGTCACAATCATGAACTTGGACCTGATCAAGATTGTTTTCTGATGATCATGTTGGTGTTCAGGGTGATGAAAAGCAGTGTAAGAGTGTGGAACAAGGCTTTGGTTTTGAAGGGTGATGAAAGCACTGTGGTCTTAATGATGAACAAGGTTTTGATCTTGAAGACCACCACGGTGGTGTTTGTACTGATCCCCAGCAAGGTGAAAACTCCAAATACACATGAAAACATCAACTAACAGTGAGGTGGCTTGATTATAATTGTCCAAAAAAATCAGGGGTCAAACTGGTTGTAGTACCTTCTAGTGCTATGGGGTGCAAGGATTGAGAGTTCCGGAACTGATGTTTTCCTTGTTTAATCTATCTGATCGACGGACCCTTTCAGACCGCGAAGACGGTGCACGGTGCTGTGCCCAGCACGGCTGGGGGGTGTCCCAATTCGTTTGTTTGGTTCGCCTTTGGCATAAGAACGCGTTGCTTCAACGGCCTAATCCCCCAAAAAGGAATGTTCCTCTCAAAAGGTGGGATCGTTTGAGTGGCTTATCTGAAGAGTGGGCCGGTGAAGAGCGAAGAAGAATCTGTGGGGCTCACTCCACAGATTACTCAAGAGTGAGCTGTGTGTCTAGTCTTATGTTGAGGAAGTCGGTGTGCTTAAGTTAATCAAATATTAAGCACAAAAAACACATAGCATCCAAAATAGGAACAACAATAGGAAAAACATGGAACGAACAAAGGAACGTAAAGGAACCATTATCGGAAAAAAACAAGGAACAAGACAACGTGGACGAAACCACAGAAGCAACCAGAAAGGAACCCAACCATGAACAAAGAGCTCAGGAGCTGGGTCCTGGCAGAATTGGGTGGGGGGTGGGGGCGGTGGGCCACGACAGGCCGGGCGGTCTAGGGGTCTAGGCCAAGGACCGCTTCTGAGGGGATTCCATTGCCGGTGGACCCAGTCTGACCTTTCCAAAAACTGCCAAGCTAGCAAAAACCTCGAAAATATTAGTACACACGTTGGGAATGATTGAATAACAAACGAAAGCATAGGAATAACATAGGAAACAGAGGCCGCTCGACCCCCGCCCTGACACCCCATCGCCACCTCCGCACCTCGACCCCCTCCCCACCATCCTCCCCATCGACACTGTTGATGGTTTGGTTCACCTTACCTCTGCAGATGTTTGACTCTGTTCTTGTGATCCTTATTGCGGCATCCGGAAGTTTCTATTTGTTCTTTTTGTTTGGTTATTTGTTTTGTGTTTTCTAGATTCGTGTGCCTTATGTTTCCCGATGTTCTGTTCTATTTCCCAATGCCTATCCTATGTTTTGTTCAATAATCTTTATATTCTTCCCTATTGTGTCCTAATTTTACTAAATATTTTGCAACTTCCAATGCCAAACTTCATTCAGCTCAACATAAGTCTAGTCGTTCTTGTTGCCAAGGAGATGTGAGGGCTTGTTATAAATTGAACATCAAAAACAACCCGTGCCTTAGAATTCCATGACTTCTGGTATAGGTCCCCATTGCAAGAAGCGGAAGAAACCCTTGCGTGTTCTCTTTGCTGTTATTTTCCTATAGCTGAAGACATGACAGACATGAAGAACGTGGCGAGTGCATGATCAACAACAGACCAGACGAGAAATAAGCCTAAGCAGATTAAACAGACCAGAAAGCTGCAACATACCATACAGTGCCACGTTCGACACGTTCGTGCCATGTTTGGCATCTACGAAAGGGACCGCAACAACTCCAAAAGGGTTTGCAAGCACCACTTCTAAGGTCTTATTATCGGTGAAGACCACATCACTTATAAGGTCATGTGATCGGTGAAGAGATAACATCTCTTCCGATCCAACTTTGTTTGTTTGAACACTTGCGAGTCAGCTAGCCTGGCCTGTCGTTTAGTCAGTCACTTGTGACCCCTCAATTTGGCGCCATGAGACCAACGCTGCTGTTGTCGCTGGTGCTTCTGTCGCAAGCATCAGAGAGTTTCCTGGGCAATGAGGACGGCGTTCTTTGGCTTCTGTTCAACTATTGAGATTCCCCTTGGGTTTTGACAAGCTGGACAGCGGTGATTGATGTCCTTAGAGCAGAGGACTTTGATACACGCAATTAAACGGGGGTCCTCTTTGACACATCACGTTGAATGGACATGGAATTTGCACGGGTCCGTGGTTTTCATTCAGACACTCCTGTCAGTTTTTGCGCTATGTGTTTTTGCTGCACACCATCTTCAAGGCACTGCGCTAGTAGGCTTGGATTTGACCATATTTAGCCACACTGACACGTGTATATATATAACATGAGCCCGCAAGTACACCAGAGGTTTAGCAGCTTAGCATAAGAGCCAGATGGTTGGTGAAAATTGTTTGATAGGGAATGATTGGGATTGGCATAGGCAAACTCACCAAATCGATTTGAACCCATCAATAGTTCACCAATTCTAACTGTGGATGAACTAGTGAGCGAACCAAGATTTATTGTTGGTATGTATGATTGGTAGATG